CTCAGCATATTCACCCCCAACAAACTAAGTGAGTACAGTGAATATTCTCCACCTACTTTTAGAGTAGTCTTTTTATCCAATCCAACCCTACCTTCTTACTGGAATTACTATTAAGCTGAGAGTTATCCCAGACTCAAAACTTAACTAATTCCTTAAAAAGTAGTTGCTGAAAGACCACCACCTCTGACTGTAACCTTTCAGCTCAGGTGCTTGCCAGCTACTTCTTGCAATATTAATTATTGCTTCCAAACACTCTACAATAACATATTCTGTTATTGTCTCCTACAGTGCTCTCTTGATTATTCAAGTGACATTAACTGAGGAGTGTGGACTTTTCAACCTCTTAAGTGGGAAGTTTGGACCACTTAATCCTGAGGGTGACTAGGAGTAATCTTGGTATTTAACCTGAGTCCCTCAGCACAGTGATAGTACTTGGCTTTTATATTAATTAAGCCAAAGTTTCATACACATAGCTGACAGTTTCCTTCCAGTCAACAAGGTACATGTACCTCGTCAACTGGAAGTATTTCCTTCAAGCCGGCAAGGTACATGTACCTCTTCAACTGGAAGGATTTCCTTCCAGCCGGCAAGAGGTACATGCACCTTGCCAGTGAGGTAAATGTACCTTGCAACTGCCGACTGGAAGGGTTTCTTCCAGTCGGTGTGGTGAGACCAATCACATACATTGGAAACATAACTTGACACAAATATTATTTACACACCAAAGATAAAGAGTTTACAACATAAGATAATCTAAACAATTATTTTCTTCTTAAATCATAGTCAATTTTATCACCATTATTCATAAAATATTTAATTCCATACATATAATAAATATATTCAAATAACATACAGAAATGGCTAAGACTTTGTTTGGCCGTCCATGATTGTCATAAACAATCATGGCAGATATTTCGGGGGTGCACAGCTAATGACGGGGCCTCACGATGGTGTTTGGGAGGCCACGTCATATTGAATCTCTTATGACAGAAATGGTCAACAAGATATATTCTCTGCCAAATCCAAGCTTTTGGTTCCCCCCCCCCAAAATTTTGTGTCATAAGTGCCGCTTCGGTGCTCTCATCACCCTTGGCTTTCCCTTACAGCAACTCCCATATCACCCCCCAGCTGCACACCACCCCCTCTGACCGGCACCATGCCCCCCCCATCCTCCTAAACCGCCGTTCCGATCATCCATTCCAAGGTGCACCAAACAGCCACATCGTTATTGATATGGATTTTCAGGCTGCGTCATCTGCACAGCCTGAAAGAATCAAACCTAAATTCTGATTTGACGATTTTTGATGACAGTCTATGATGATTGTGGACGGCCCAAACGAAGCCTAAGAAAATACCAATTACCCTCTTAGAATAAAGAAACAAGATATTGATCAGAAAGTACCTTATAGACTAGATCTAGAAAGTAACTCTAATACTAGTTAGTCCTAGAATACCAATCTCATAGTAATTAATCTAACATTGGACATCTTATAGAAGAATTACAACCTCTTGTATCAGAAGGGCACTTAAAGATCAATTTGTATAAGATTAGACCATCCCAGAGAAGTAAAAACCAATCTAGAAATACTCTTCTCAGATGCACTTGTGTTCAGGCTAAAATCTCATGTACTGCAGAACCAGTTGTCTATAAATAGAGGTTCTTCTGGCTGACCCTCCTCATGCTAGCTTCAGAATTGTAATCAGAGATATTACTTAGCTTTCATAAACCCTTGATTAAGAAATCCAGAGAATATTAGAGCCCTTTGAAACAACCCTTATCTCATATTTTGGCCATAGAACAGTAATTCAGAAATATTACTTAGCCATTCTCACCTCTTTGAAAGATATTAGAGAAATAAGTGTACCATTTATTAGAGCCCAGCGGATTAGAGTGTCTTATTAGACCAGAGAATCAGAGAGAATTTATAACAGATTTAACAGAGATACCCTTCAGAAACCCTTACCACTCAGAAATCCCCACAATCTCCTTACCTCTTCAACAGGTATTCTTAAGCAACAATAATAGTAGTATCAACACTAATATAAATTTAGAAATAAGCCACACTCTTATTTTTCTTAGTGTAACTTTCCCGCAAGCTAGACAGGAGGGCAGTCTCACCCAAACACATAGAGATGGGCACTTTGCATCCGTAGTATCCGGTTGCTTTTTCCGGGAAAGCGGCATCCAC